GTTTTATGTTTAGAATGTATTGTAGCACGTAGTAGTGGATTCACGGAGAACAGGCGAAAATGAATTCAGCTAATACAAGTTACAACTGATATGAATTGAACTGATCAGAAATAATATAACAATTACTTTTAAATTTAGCCATTTTTAGGCATTCGTTGATGTCCGACCCGTTTCTTGTAAAGAGGCCACGAGTCGCCCTACTACCCGGTAGTGTAGTCTCATTAGGAGCGAGCTAAATCAATAACTCTACTCTCGAACTTCGAGATGTTTTAAAAGTTGAAACCATCATCCTAAAAATTGACCAAAATAAGTAAAAAATTCATTAACTGTCCAACTTAAATTTACGAAGTTTTGTCATATGATGTTTTGTTGCTTGGATGCTCATCAGTCATCATGCTTGGATTCTATTGGACATTTTTGACAAATTTTTAAAATTTGAAAATTTAATTAATAATTATTATTAAATATATCATGACATTGTTTTTATAAAAAACTAATGGAAAAATTGGTACCGCAATATAAGTTACATAATGTGTGACAAGATGAAAACTAACTCAGCTAGAAAAATAAACTTATAACAATTAGCTGAACCGATCCAAAATATATAAGGTCATAGCAGATGCCACATTACCGTTGCGGCCGTCGAATATGTTTAAGTTGTTGTTTATATGCTGGAGCTTTAAAAATAGACTAAGCTAAATTGTTTAGGGATGACATATTGACATGGGACTGCAGAGATGACATACCATTGCTGCCGACGATTTGTTGACTCTTATTTCATTGCTATGTTTCTTGTTGTGAAACTTAGTGAAGCTTTGTGCAGCTTTTTGAAGTTTTTTTGCAGCTTTGTACAACTTTGTGGAGCTTTGTGAAGCTTTGTACAGCTTTGTGCAGCGTTGTGCAGCTTTTTGCAGCTTTGTACAGCTTTGTGCAGCTTTATGCAGCTTTGTACAGCTTTTTGAAGTTTTGTGCAGCTTTGTGCAGCTTTGTGCAGCTTTATGCAGCTTTGTACAGCTTTTTGAAGTTTTGTGCAGCTTTGTGCAGCTTTGTGCAGCTTTGTACAGCTTTGTGCAGCTTTATGCAGCTTTGTGCAGCTTTGTGCAGCTTTGTGCAGCTTTGTGCAGCTTTGTGCAGCTTTGTACAGCTTTGTGCAGCTTTGTGCAGCTTTGTGCAGCTTTGTGCAGCTTTGTACAGCTTTGTGCAGCTTTGTGCAGCTTTGTGCAGCTTTGTGCAGCTTTGTGCAGCTTTGTGCAGCTTTGTGCAGCTTTGTGCAGCTTTGTGCAGCTTTGTACAGCTTTGTGCAGCTTTGTGCAGCTTTGTGCAGCTTTGTGCAGCTTTGTGCAGCTTTGTGCAGCTTTGTGCAGCTTTGTGCAGCTTTGTGCAGCTTTGTGCAGCTTTGTGCAGCTTTGTGCAGCTTTGTGCAGCTCTGTGTAGCTTTGTGCAGCTTTGTACAGCTTTGTGCAGCTTTGTGCAGCTTTGTGCAGCTTTGTGCAGCTTTGTGCAGCTTTGTGCAGCTTTGTGCAGCTTTGTGCAGCTTTGTGCAGCTTTGTGCAGCTTTGTGCAGCTTTGTGCAGCTTTGTGCAGCTTTGTGCAGCTTTGTGCAGCTTTGTGCAGCTTTGTGCAGCTTTGTGCAGCTTTGTGCAGCTTTGTGCAGCTTTGTGCAGCTTTGTACAGCTTTGTGCAGCTTTGTGCAGCTTTGTGCAGCTTTGTGCAGCTTTGTGCAGCTTTGTGCAGCTTTGTGCAGCTTTGTGCAGCTTTGTGCAGCTTTGTGCAGCTTTGTGCAGCTTTGTGCAGCTTTGTGCAGCTTTGTGCAGCTCTGTGTAGCTTTGTGCAGCTCTGTGCAGCTTTGTGCAGCTTTGTGCAGCTTTGTGCAGCTTTGTGCAGCTTTGTGCAGCTTTGTGCAGCTTTGTGCAGCTTTGTGCAGCTTTGTACAGCTTTGTGCAGCTCTGTGCAGCTTTGTGCAGCTCTGTGCAGCTCTGTGCAGCTTTGTGCAGCTTTGTACAGCTTTGTGCAGCTTTGTGCAGCTTTGTGCGGCTTTGTGCAGCTTTGTGCAGCTTTGTACAGCTTTGTGCAGCTTTGTGCAGCTTTGTGCAGCTTTGTACAGCTTTGTGCAGCTTTGTGCAGCTTTGTGCGGCTTTGTGCAGCTTTGTGCGGCTTTGTGCAGCTTTGTGCAGCTTTGTACAGCTTTGTGCAGCTTTGTGCAGATTTGTGCAGCTTTGTGCAGATTTGTACAGCTTTGTGCAGCTTTGTGCAGCTTGTTGAATGTCGTGAGATGAAAAGGGTGAAACATCAAATGATAAAAATGTTGCAAACTTTGCATTATTTTTATTGGGCGAAAGACGGATCTCCGGGTCAACTAAATTGTTCCATTATTTTGTTTAATAAATTTATGCTACCTATGACTGAGTGTCCTATCTTAATAACCTTCTTATACATTAAAGACCGTAACTATGTAGAAACTAACTATCTCGTTACCTTAGTATTGCTGTACAACTACTACAAAAGTTAAATCTTCAAATCTGAAGAAACTGTATTAGAGACTTTGTTATTGGACGTGTATAACTATAGGCAATACAGATTACAGAGGTGTGATTCGTGTACGTTAATCTAAATCAGGGGCAGCTATGTAACCTGTAGGCTGTAAGCACTATGAATAGATTGTACTCATGAATGAGTAGACGTGAGTAGACGTGACTAGTAGATACATTTACCGATATAGCTATAGTCTCAATAGAGCCATCCCTGAGTGAAACGTCATGAATAAAAAATAAAATGTGCAAAAACTGATACCACGGACTAAATTAGCCTCTGAAATCATTTTGACACCCTGTGAGTTGCAAGAACAGTGTCATCACTATATTTCCTGACACGTACACAGTCATCCTCACATATAAAGTTAAAAATCCGTAAAAGGCGTTCCCATTTTCTTCACCTAAGCCATAAATGCGAGGCAGACATTTTGGTCCTTGTAATCAGTTTGCTGCCACTCCCCAATCATGATATCATATCTGAAATTATCAGTATTATATCATTATATCATTGTTGTTGTGGCACTAGTTTAACAGTTACAACAGCCAACAGTTGTTACAGTTTATTTTACTATGCAGCCCTGCGCAGCTAATTGATTTAAGGCTTTCTCCATACATCCTGACATAACCCAACACTTTGTCTATAAAGGCATAAACATGACCCATAATAATAATCGATACCCATTATAACGAAGATAAGATAAGGTTACCCAATCCTCCACCTCTCCTCCATTACATCATCGGAATACCAAAAATACTTCCATTTCCTGAACCGAAACTGTCTATCCTGCCAACGTGACGTAACATATCACACATGTATATATTGAGATATCGCATATCTAAGGGATCGTTCACATGCGTTAGGTAAGCCAATTTTTGATAATTCTAGACTCCATAAGTTGCTTAACACAAAGCAATCATATAAAAATTACAGTCTGCTTTTTCAAATCACCTCCCTAAAACTTACGTAACACGCAAACGACTCTGCACTAAGATACGTAGCACTGTATATACGCTGTAAACGATAAGGCGTAAGTCTGTTGACAGCTATATCTGCTATATCTGTGCACCACCCCTCTATTTTGCAAGGGAGATGACATATTACTGCAGAATATTTGGTGGCTCAAACACCACTTGTAGTGTTATGTTTTGTGCTGCTTTGGTGCTCTTCACGCTCGGTTGCCTAGATCCTGTTTTAAGTGTGTTGACAGTATATCTGCACCATGTATTTTGGCATATTGATGCAGTATATGTGGGGGCTCAAATACCAGTTGTGCTGTGGTGTTTCGTTGCTTGGCTCCTGATCGTCACGCTTGATTTCTGTTGGATTTGTTTATCTTTATTCAGTCGTTGTTTGTATGCTTTGAATTGTTTAGGGATGAAATATAAGCATATAGTGACCGTGGACTGCAGAGGGGGGCTCAGGGCGTATAGTGAGATGTAGAATGTAGATGGGACTGCAGAGATGACATACTGCTGCAGAATGCAGACAGTTTAGTGACTGATCGTATGTCATTTGTTATGTGGTAGTGAGTTGGTACCATGGCATTTCTGGTATTTGTGCTGTGACTTGTCAAGCTTTGTGTCGCTTTGGTTCTCTTCGCGCTTGGTTGCAGTTGGATCTTGTTTTGTTAAACTTAACGTTGTTTTATGCTATAAAAGAGATAAAACTTCTCTATTGAACTATTGAAGGAGCATAAGATAATATTTGCTTTCTTTTCTTAGTGTTTTGAATGTCATGTTTGCTTTTAAAATTGCCCCTAATAACAGAGTCAGTAATTGTTTCTTCATGGTAATTCAATGATACAATAAAATATATGCAATATGAAATCGTGGCTTAACCCACAAGATTACAGAAGACGCTATAGTTAAGTCACATGATCACTTTATGTATGCGCTTATTCCATGCATCAATGAACTAATGAACACGATTTGTTCTCAAGTCATTTGTAAGCCTTAAAAGCAAATGATCTGTGATCGAATCGCTTGAATATTTCCAGAACCATGCTTTGAGCGTGGTTCTGGCAACGGGAATCGGTCAACAGAGCGGAAGTCCCAAGGGCGAAGGACTCAAGGGCGGAAGTTTCCTAAAAGGTTGGACTCGAGGGCGGAAGTCGATCTCATGACAAGGGCAGCAACAACAGATAATAATTGTTTGAGAAGCTGTGTTTAGCAGCAGCAGGATATAGCAGTTAATCGAGCTATATTGTTTGATACGCTATTGTTAGAGTCAAATGCTGACAGCGACTGTTTGCATTTATTTGGAATTGTTGATAATGGTTAGTTGCGATTGTTTGTTTGAAGTTCCGATGATGCGCAATAATTCGTAATAATTTCTGTAATCAAAGTTAACCGAAATTGTTCATAATTATTCCTACTTATCCATAAAAATCTTGTCAATTCATAAACAGTAAACGAAAATACGTTATATTTACTTGAATCTAACGGAAATTAATCCCAACATTAGCTCACATGGTCCACCTACTCCACCAAGACTTCATCAGTGCCCCCGGATTAGAAAAGGAGTTTTTTCTTAGTGTTTTAACAGGTGTTTTACTCACCTCCCTCGTTCTTATTGTCCCTGCTATCAGACACCTCAAATCGGTATGTAATTTAAATTGAAGTGCACATTTTACAGTAGATTTTACTGTAGATTTTACTGTACATTTTACTGTAGATTTTACTGTAGATTTTACTGTAGATTTTACTGAAGATTTTACTGTAGATTTTACTGTAGATTTTACTGTAGATTTTACTGTAGATTTTACTGTAGATTTTACTGTAGAGTTTACCGTAGAGTTTACCGTAGAGTTTACCGTAGATGTTACTGTATATTGCGATTTCCACAGGCTTATGCTAATACACTATAATACAGGTCGGACAGGAATATTATAAGATTGTAATACAAACCAATCGATTAATTAATATAATGAACTACATCATACTGACTAATTAATTAACTAATTAATTATTAATTAATATAATTAACTACATGATACTAACAGCACTCTCCACAGAAAGTGCTGTACTTGTTAAAGCTGGGCTATGTTACTGGCAACACAGCTGTTCTTATTGTGGCTTTATGGTGGGCAGACTGGTTCTGTGGGGAGATCACGTGTATGGATCACGTCACAGGTAACTAATTACTGCTAATTACTACTAATTATTAACTACACATCACAGGTAACTACACTAATTACTACTAATTATTAACTACACATCACAGGTAACTACACTAATTACTACTAATTATTAACTACACATCACAGGTAACTACACTAATTACTACTAATTATTAACTACACATCATAGGTAACTAATTACTACTAATTACTACTAATTATTAACTACACATCACAGGTAACTACACTAATTACTACTAATTATTAACTACACATCACAGGTAACTACACTAATTACTACTAATTATTAACTACACATCATAGGTAACTAATTACTGCTAATTACTACTAATTATTAACTACACATCACAGGTAACTACACTAATTACTACTAATTATTAACTACACATCACAGGTAACTACACTAATTACTACTAATTATTAACTACACATCATAGGTAACTAATTACTGCTAATTACTACTAATTATTAACTACACATCACAGGTAACTACACTAATTACTACTAATTATTAACTACACATCACAGGTAACTACACTAATTACTACTAATTATTAACTACACATCACAGGTAACTACACTAATTACTACTAATTATTAACTACACATCATAGGTAACTAATTACTACTAATTACTACTAATTATTAACTACACATCACAGGTAACTACACTAATTACTACTAATTATTAACTACACATCACAGGTAACTACACTAATTACTACTAATTATTAACTACACATCATAGGTAACTAATTACTGCTAATTACTACTAATTATTAACTACACATCACAGGTAACTACACTAATTACTACTAATTATTAACTACACATCATAGGTACCTAATTACTGCTAATTACTACTAATTATTAACTACTAAGACTTTAGCGATTTTTCAACTATTATAGTCTCTTTACATCCAGCCTATTTGTGGTTGTAGGGTTTTGAAACTAGTATTTTTTTAACAGTAATGGAGCATACTTTTGTCGGTATTTATCGCACTTCTCTTTTAGTATTTAGCAGCTAAAATATTTGGTTATGTAATATGCAGTATAAAAAATATGTCTACGTGGCCGTTTCTTTAATCTTCTCCAGCCATTATGTTTTTAGCAAATCGACACAAATCAGCACAAAAATGCAGTAAAATAATTGCAATTCCGAATGGTATTTGACACGTACTAATAAACTGTGAGTTATTCAGCTACTTCGTAATATTGGACATCTTGGCACCTGTTCAATTCCTGTTTAATTTACGGACCTTAAAGTAGCAATCCTATCATATTCATCTACAATAAAATAAAATAATAAATATAAAGTTCCGGAATCCGGGTACACATTGCCCAAAGCCCTGGAGAAAAAGATGCTGGGGCTTGCTTTTCTGTAGGTTATATAAAAACCTTGATAAAGTACTAGCCTACTAGTACCCAGGTCAAGTCTCTGTTAAGGTTAATATGTACGTTTATAATGTGTAGTGTTGTTTACTGACCAGGTTCCATCCCAGGGTTCTCTAGAGAACTATCTCCCATCAGATTATCAGTTCACATAGGACTGTCTACACTCTACATCTCCTACACTGTATCCAGTGTTACTTATGAAGTTACTATGAACCATGCTTGGAATGGCCAGTACTTTAGATCCGCCTTAGGTGAGCTGACACGACTTGTAACTTTTTATTATTTTATTACTACTAAGCTTAATGATAGAAGTTTGCTGTTTTGTAAACCAGCAAATTAATAAATACTTTTAAAACTTGTAATACTTTTTGTCCACTAGGCTAACAGCACCCCCTTACAGGGTCCCACAACAAGAAGCTAGCAGATAGTATCTCGGGAGCCCCACTGTCAGTAACCTGGCTGGTACAACAGTTCCAGGGGGATCTAGCAGGTCCTAATTTCGGGTTCTCTCTTCAACCTATCTTCTACGCTGTTAGAATAATGCTGTGGTAAGTGACTCGGATCGAATTTTTTTAAGTCAACATTTTTTCAAAGTTTTTTGGAAACCAATTTTCTCCATGTTTCATGCTACCCTATTCATTATTAGTTGAAAACATTTTTCGGTTTTTTGAAGTCCGCACCTAGTCAAAAAATTGTTGATTTTTTGAGGATTAAAATGTGACGAAAAATATGCATTTTATAAATTCATTTTTTAAATTCATTTTTTTGAAGAAATATCCGGCAAAAAATTTTTTGGAACCGGAACCGGAACCGGATCCGGATTCAGTCGAATATCCGGTCGGTTCCCAATGAAATAGTAATACACAGTCTGTGATAAAATACACAGTCTGTGAATTATAAATTACGTGTACATTTCGAAATCTAGCTGCATGATCAGTGAAATTGAATGACGAATGTGGGAATGCACAGTGCACACTCTCCAAAGTCCAAACTATAGATAATTGTACAGTTTAAGAAACGGGTGGCTAATAATTGGATGCTTGTAATGAAATATATTAACTGCACACTGATTATAATTCGATACTGCAGTAGACATGATATTCATAGAGAACTAGCCGGGCAAATATGTCGTGGTAACTACTATAACTCTATTTACTATCTTACTATACGTATAAAATAGATAAATGCAAATAATAAACGGAGAAACATCACTGAAATCTTATTACCTATACCCTGAGCCCTTGAGAAAGAAAAGAATTTAGACCTGATGGCGATTTTTCTCACCAAGTTAACAGAGCCTGTCACCCCCATTTTATTCGCATTATAATATTAGACGAGACTAAATAGTGCCTCCAATATACAATTTATTTATACTTTTATAGATTGCAACGGCCCTTAAGCGCTTGTACATTCATGGTACATCGACTTTAATTCTATTTTAAGTCTATATAATTATCTGCACCCGGGAATTGAAAACTGCAAAATCTTGCAGCTTCGGGAAATTAAATTACCACAATGATATCAGAGTTCAGACTACGCAATATGTAAGTCAACGAAAATAAATCCCTTGGAAAAAGCGCTCTTGATGAATCGCTAATGAGAGCGGGAACTGGAAAAAGGACGGTTAAGCAAAACCCTTGCAAATCTGATCGAAGATATTCCCTCTAAGAGTTACTCCCAAGCTCCCACACTTTTTTATTACCTATACCCTGAGTCCTTTAGAAAGAAAAGAATTTAGACCCATTTTATTCGCATTATAATATTAGACGGGTTGCAGTTTTTAATTCCCGGGTGCAGATATAATTATTTGCACCCGGGAGTTAAAACTGCAAAATATATAGCTCTTATAAAATTGCGGAATTTATTGTGTAATTACAAACTCTAAGGATTAATAATATCATAATTGATAATGACAAAAGCCCAATAATAAGGATTAATTTAAATTTACCGGCATATTCCGGCAAGTTCCGGCAGCCTTATATTTGCCCTCTCAACAACCGGTTCCGGTCCAGTAAAATCCGGCTAACCGGATAATAGATTGATATCCGGAAAAATCCGGTCCGGCAGCCAGAAGCCCATTCCGGTCGGTTCCTAAAGTGATTAAAATGTTAGACCAGCTGTATAACGTTATAATGCTAGTGATGACTTGATGAAATAAATTATATCTTTGGCTATTTCTTGACAACTGACAAGTTCTCACGCTAGACTTGAATAGCTTCTGTTAAAATAATTGGTAACTTTGGCTACTTCATGTCACCTTGTTAAACGTTTATTCTGTAGAATATGTTGATATTGCAATTTTGACATTATCATCAATAAACATTTATTTGTGGTGGGAAGAATTCTCCTTAAGTCGTTAAACCTCATTCACCAGAATATATTAAAATATTTCTCCCAAATAATAGGCTTGTTTAACCATACCAATCTCACACACAACAAATCCTCTTCTAACCCAACCCCCCCATTTCAGGATCTCAATGACAGGTCTAGCTATCGGGTGGCTACTCTTAGCAGCAGGGAACAGATCCTCTAAAACTGGATCTCTTCTAATCACCATATCGGGCTTGTTACAGCTTGGGGTCCTGGTTTTCTTCATTCTTCTCTCTTCCAGGATTCATAGGAAAATATTTGTTGGTAAGTTTTCATTTCGAAGGAAAGTTTTAGTTATTTTTTAAAACACTGTGCATTTCCCAACATTCACTAACTTTCATCGACAAATTGTGTCCATTTCTTACTTCGCACTCACCCCAGGTTATCAGATGCTAGCACTAAAATACAGTACTATTATAGTGTGGGTACTGCCTCTAACTGGGCTTATAAACACCACCACTGGTATATTGCTGATGGTCACTAAAGTATTCTGTGAAAGAAAATCAGGATGTTTGTTCACCCCATTACAAGTACGTTCAGTGAGAGTTATTGTATAAATGTATATACCAATTGTATACATTACAATTATATACCAAATCCAATTGTATACATTTTTAACGGAGTTACAACAAAATGTATTCACAAAGTAGTCCTGAAAAGTAGACAGCATTATTGTTATCAAAGAGTTAAAGTATCAAGTATATAGCTGATAACTCTAATCACACTCTAACCTGCACACTCCTCTACCAGGTGTTATTCGTGGACCCAGTAAGCTTACAAGAAGAGAGGCACGCCTCCAGAGCGACTTCTCCAGAAACACACCACCACTATAACAGAGAACCATCACTCTCCTCCCTCTCCTCCGCACAAGACAGTAGTATTACAACAGACCACGTCTCCACTGATCACGTGGTGGACCCTATGACTAAAATGCGAGGTCACGTGTTAGATCACGTGACTAAAATGAAAGGTCACGTGTCATCAGATTACCGACCTAAGATTGTGAGATCCACTAAGAACAGACTGACTTCAGTTTTTGAGCGGGACACAACGTACCGGACTAAGTACGTGTATTTCAACAATACTTCTAGTTCTTCTTATAGTGTTGATCAGGACTGTGAAAGTACGTCACGCGATCTGAAACATGAAAGTAATGATGCATCACGTTGTCTGGCGAACCAGTCAGAATCGTCCAGTTTGAGTCAGTCCGAATCTTACGTATAAAAATTTCATTATATTTTATTAAAAAATGTCGAAATTTAAGAATTTTCTCAGCAGAAAGAAAATTATTATTTTTGTGTATGTATTACTATTACCGCTGCGTTCAGCGTTCACTATTTTGGCTAACAACAATTAATAATAAGTAATTAATATCACGTGTCATTTCACTGTGCTCTGTTTTATATTCTTTTTAAAATGAAAAGAAGTATTGCTTTTAAGTGATTTAATTTATTAAAAATTCATCGATTTATTGAATGTATTTTGAATTTAATTTATAAAGAATCAGTTGTTTGATGTGGTCTGATCTCAGTGGTAAAACGTACCTAACGGTACCCCTAAGGTATAACCCCCCGGCCCCCAGAATCAACCAATCTTCCTTGTCATGTGCACCAGAACACACCTCCCTAGTTTGAATAGGATCAAGTAAAATATAACAGGTCAACCTGTAACTTGGCCAATGGCCAGCCTGTAAAATACTGACTGACTTGATTAAATATAGGTATCATTCAATTACGGAGGACCCACACGTACATATTTCTATATTTGCGTGCTTTTGTTGTCTTTTTACCAGTATCTATCAATCTTATTACTTTATTACAGTGTCTCCCTTTCTGTTCCGGTTGTAGGTTAGTCTCAATCATAGTCTGTGCTGCTGTAAAGGAATGAAACCTTGCGTTTTATAAGGCATCATATCCAAATAATCTGCTATTTGCCTTTCCGGTCAAGATTCTGGGTAACAATGTTTTCACCAAAGTCCGAAGAGTACATGATTTAGACTTTAATCACAACAGTTCACAAATTTAGCTGTAAAAACTGTGTTTTTGGGCGTATTAACTATTATTGTTAACTTTTAAAGTATTAAGGGATTAATGGCTAATGCAGCTCGTAGCTTGTAGCTTGTCCATGTTTCTTCAGATTAATAGAACACTTAACCATTTTCAGACGGACTCATGGTATCAGGTGCTCTATCATTAGGCAACCAATCTAAGTCTAACGCAGAAAATTCTTTAGAAAATACTTTCAAAGCTAACATTGATGTGATGACAGAAGAAAAAGATCATGAAGATAAAAAGGAGCATCACCAAGAAACAGACAATACCCTCAATAACGGGAACCAACCACAAACAGCCCACCACACCGCCCTTATCTCCCACCACACCACCCTTATCTCCTACGAGGCACTCATGTGGACTCTACACATCACCATAGTCCTTCTAGCCTGCCTGGACCGATTCTTCTGGAACGTCTGGCCGAGGGAGAGTCACAAGATAGGGAGTGGTAATGCTGGGAGTGATAGGAGAGGGCTCATGGAGGGTCCCTGGTCGGTTAAGTGTTTTGATATCATTGCACGTGCTTCTGGCAGATTCTGCATTTTGACGCTAAACTTGTTGTTCATTGTGAGGTTAAAGACAATAGAGAATTGGTTAGCAACATCATGGATTAGTAAGCACGTTGTTGACTGTAGCAACATCGTCAAGGCTAATCTCAGGTTGCATATTTGGAACGGGATAGCATTCTGTACACTTTTACTAACGCACGTCTGGAGTATTCTCCTGCCATGTATGTTTCACAGGTACGGTGTCCAGATAGTCCCAGGTTCTTTTGAGTACCCGCTCTCGGAACGAGCTCCACCTGGTTTCCACGAAGCTGACCCCAAAACTAAAATGATGAGCTTCCAAGTGGATGATGCTTTCAGGATGGTGGAGATGACAGTGACGTTAGGTATCCTGATACCCCTCAGTAGCTACTGGTTTCAGAAGCGTTATCATATAGCCATACACATTCACCGTGTTGCTGCTGTTATAGTCTCTATCGACAATATCAGAAGGCATTCCCACCCGCATGCCATTATTCTTAATACCCCTATTGTCTTTATATGGTTGGTGGAGAAGGCTTATATTACGTGGATTCAGTCAGATTCACACTGTTTTCACAGAATAAGATTGGGTTATGACTACATGGCTATTTTGTGGACCTCACCACCAGGTAAATCAGTGGGTCCTAATTTCTACCTCAGGTTAAAGGACAGCTCCCTATCGGAACCTTTCCATGCATTCACATCTTTCCAAAACAGGAATTTCCTCCGAATCCGAGACTTTAAAGAATCCTGGACATCAGGTGTTGTGATGAGAGTTTATCACAATAAAAGAAAACTTGCTCTCTCTAAAACAGACAGTACTTCACACACTGGTCGTCTGTACGACTGCAACACTGAGTCATCCACCCTGGAAGTGCGGGGCCCGTACACTGGTGAAATGTCAGAGCTGATCAAACTAGCTCATAACCCAACAGAGTCACTCTGCTTCAACAACATTGCACTTAGTGTAACCCAAGATGAGAAGGAAGTGTGGAGCTTCCCCTTTAAAACTGCAGGTGGATCTGTGGTGTTGGTCGGTACTGGGTCTGGAGTTAATTACCTGATAGATGCATTACAACACCAGTTTACAGGAGACAGACAGATGGTGATATTGTGGAGCACACGTGATCATAGTCTTTACAACTGGGTATCAGATCTGGTGAACCAGATGGTATTTCCTGACGATGCAAATCTCAGGATTATTCTAGCTAATACTGATAGAAGTGGGGCAGTTCAGGTCACTTTGCCATCAGGTTTATCAACTTTGAGCAAGCCTGATAGCAAAGTTCCAAACATCGTGACGTACGTAACTGGTAGGATTGACTTCGAGAAAGAGATCCCAGCGGACTCCCATGTCTTCTTTCAGGGGTCCTCTACGGTTGGAAAAGCAGTTAGAACCGCTTGTAAGAAGAAGAGGTGTTGGGTGTACAAAGGAACAGGGGGCAAGGAGGTTACTGTCAAAACAACAGCTACTGTTCTTCAGAACCATGCAGCTGTGGAGCCCAATCCTGTTGTGGTGCCCAGTGATCAGATGGAGGGATATGCGTACCAGTGAGTTCATTTAATCATTATTTACGGAAATTTGCTTATTTATTTTAATAATATTTTTTATTAAAATTAATTGCGAAGATTTTCTCTGATCAGCTGTTTCATCTTGTAAACAATTTCTCCGGATTCAATTTAATCTTATACTTTTACAATTTCTTAATATCACAAAGGTAATTGACCCTACCTTTGATATTTGTATTAAGGTCTACGTAATAAATTTCTTAATGTAATTGATACTGCGTTTATTTTACATCGTGTTCTAATGTCCAAGGTAATTGACTCTACATTACGAGACATATTTCTTTTCGACATAATTCCGGTGACCTAAATAAAATAATTTGGGAACGAAAATATGGGAATTTACATAATGTTCAAGGTAATTGACCCGTACCATTAAATCATGGTATTTGGAGATTTTTGCATCTCCTTATTTTATAAAAATGAAACTCAATATTTTTAGAAAATTAATTGCAAAGATTTTCTCTGATCAGCTGTTTCATCTTGTAAACAATTTCTCCGTATTTAATTTAATGTTATACTTTTACAATTTCATAATATCACAAAGGTAATTGACCCTATACCTTTGATATTTGTATAAAGGTCTAGGTAATAACGATCTTAAAGTCAATGTAATTAATACTGCGTTTATTTTACACAATGTTCTAATGTCCAAGGTAATTGACTGACATATTTATTTTCGACATAATTCCGGTGACCTGAATAAAATAATTTGGGAACGAAAATATGGAAATTTACATAATGTTCTAAGGTAATTGACCCGTACCATTAAATCATTGTATTTGGAGATTTTTTCATCTCCTTATTTTATTAAAATGAAACTCAATATTTGAGAAAATTAAATACAAAGATCTTCTCTGATCAGCTGTTTCATTTTGTGAACAATTTCTCCGGAGCCTTTAAAAGTTAGCCTCAACTTAATTTATAATCCTCCAGAGGGTAACAAAAATCATTTTAAAGCAATTCATGATCGAATAGTAGTGGGATGATGATTAATCACTATTCACTCTACACTCGACTGTCACGTGACTTTTTCAACCCATTCTCTAGCTTGTCCTGAACGACTATCGAAACTCTAACCCTCTAATCTGATCCCAACCCTAACCATAACCCAATCTCTAACAAAAGCATATGCTGAAACCCTAACCCTAACGAGAAATTAGACTAACTTCTTTATACGGTTATATCACGTGATTGAGACAGTTTTTCGCCAATATCTCGTCCGGGGAGCATTTTAACTCTATGTCATGGACTCATGGGGGTGATTCGGAATCAGCGTCCGCAAATACATCGATTGAAGTTGGTTTCAACTATCGGGGGCCCTTTTAGAACAATCTCGCAGATCGACTGTAGAGTGATTTAGCACGCTCGATAGTAGTGTTCATTAATTGTTCGATGAATCATATTTATAACTTACTATATTTATAAGTCGATAGTAAATCTATAAAGTTATAATTAAGGAAAATACGTGAAAAATAATTTGGGGAAATAATGATAGTGACCTGAACTATCAAAGAAAACTATTAGCCTCCTCCCTGTGACCACTGACCACGGGCTCTTTAGTCCATCTACTATATAAAATGAAAGATTCTTTAAGTATGTATGTACGACCGCCCACATGCAAATTAGGTTTTGATACATTTTGATTTACGCTCACGCTATGACTATTTATAATTTTGGTTGTGATTTTACATAGTAGAGTCTAACTCTATTTAGATTTGAATCAACTCCAGGGAAACTCATGATGCTGGAGTTGGGATACTTCTGGAAAAGCGCATCCGTATTAAATGCACTTAATGTCATGTGTAACTTATAAAATGGTGAATGGTGATGAACCAAATTTAACTGAGGCTGGTGATGAACCAAATTTAACTGCGGCTGGTCATGAACCCGATTTAACTGCGGCTGGTCATGAACCCGATTTAACTGTGGCTGGTGATGAACCCGATTTAACTGCAGCTGGTGATGAACCTGATTTAACTGCGGCTGGTGATGAACCCGATTTAACTGCAGCTGGTGATGAACCCGATTTAACTGCGGCTGGTGATGAACCCGATTTAACTGTGGCTGGTGATGAACCCGATTTAACTGTGGCTGGTGATGAACCCGATTTAACTGTGGCTGGTGATGAACCCGATTTAACTGCAGCTGGTGATGAACCTGATTTAACTGCGGCTGGTGATGAACCCGATTTAACTGTGGCTGGTGATGAACCCGATTTAACTGCAGCTGGTGATGAACCCGATTTAACTGCGGCTGGTGATGAACCCGATTTAACTGCGGCTGGTGATGAACCCGATTTAACTGCAGCTGGTGATGAACCCGATTTAACTGTGGCTGGTGATGAACCCGATTTAACTGTGGCTGGTGATGAACCCGATTTAACTGTGGCTGGTGATGAACCCGATTTAACTGCAGCTGGTGATGAACCCGATTTAACTGCGGCTGGTGATGAACCCGATTTAACTGCGGCTGGTGATGAACCCGATTTAACTGTGGCTGGTGATGAACCCGATTTAACTGTGGCTGGTGATGAACCCGATTTAACTGTGGCTGGTGATGAACCCGATTTAACTGCGGCTGGTGATGAACCCGATTTAACTGTGGCTGGTGATGAACCCGATTTAACTGCAGCTGGTTATGAACCCGATTTAACTGCGGCTGGTGATGAACCCGATTTAACTGTGGCTGGTGATGAACCCGATTTAACTGTGGCTGGTGATGAACCCGATTTAACTGTGGCTGGTGATGAACCCGATTTAACTGTGGCTGGTGATGAACCCGATTTAACTGTGGCTGGTGATGAACCCGATTTAACTGCAGCTGGTGATGAACCCGATTTAACTGCGGCTGGTGATGAACCCGATTTAACTGTGGCTGGTGATGAACCCGATTTAACTGTGGCTGGTGATGAACCCGATTTAACTGTGGCTGGTGATGAACCCGATTTAACTGTGGCTGGTGATGAACCCGATTTAACTGTGGCTGGTGAAGAACCCGATTTAACTGCAGCTGGTGATGAACCTGATTTAACTGCGGCTAATGATGAACCCGATTTAACTGTGGCTGGTGATGAACCCGATTTAACTGTGGCTGGTGATGAACCCGATTTAACTGTGGCTGGTGATGAACCCGATTTAACTGTGGCTGGTGATGAACCCGATTTAACTGTGGCTGGTGATGAACCCGATTTAACTGTGGCTGGTGATGAACCCGATTTAACTGTGGCTGGTGATGAACCCGATTTAACTGTGGCTGGTGATGAACCCGATTTAACTGCAGCTGGTGATGAACCTGATTTAACTGCGGCTGGTGATGAACCCGATTTAACTGCAGCTGGTGATGAACCCGATTTAACTGCGGCTGGTGATGAACCTGATTTAACTGTGGCTGGTGATGAACCCGATTTAACTGTGGCTGGTGATGAACCCGATTTAACTGTGGCTGGTGATGAACCCGATTTAACTGCAGCTGGTGATGAACCTGATTTAACTGCGGCTGGTGATGAACCCGATTTAACTGTGGCTGGTGATGAACCCGATTTAACTGCAGCTGGTGATGAACCCGATTTAACTGCGGCTGGTGATGAACCCGATTTAACTGCGGCTGGTGATGAACCCGATTTAACTGCGGCTGGTGATGAACCCGATTTAACTGTGGCTGGTGATGAACCCGATTTAACTGTGGCTGGTGATGAACCCGATTTAACTGTGGCTGGTGATGAACCCGATTTAACTGCAGCTGGTGATGAACCCGATTTAACTGCGGCTGGTGATGAACCCGATTTAACTGTGGCTGGTGATGAACCCGATTTAACTGTGGCTGGTGATGAACTCGATTTAACTGTGGCTGGTGATGAACCCGATTTAACTGTGGCTGGTGATGAACCCGATTTAACTGTGGCTGGTGATGAACCCGATTTAACTGCAGCTGGTGATGAACCTGATTTAACTGCGGCTGGTGATGAACCCGATTTAACTGTGGCTGGTGATGAACCCGATTTAACTGTGGCTGGTGATGAACCCGATTTAACTGTGGCTGGTGATGAACCCGATTTAACTGCAGCTGGTCATGAACCCGATTTAACTGTGGCTGGTGATGAACCCGATTTAACTGTGGCTGGTGATGAACCCGATTTAACTGTGGCTGGTGATGAACCCGATTTAACTGTGGCTGGTGATGAACCCGATTTAACTGCGGCTGGTGATGAACCCGATTTAACTGCGGCTGGTCATGAACCCGATTTAACTGTGGCTGGTGATGAACCCGATTTAACTGCGGCTGGTGATGAACCCGATTTAACTGCGGCTGGTGATGAACCCGATTTAACTGCGGCTGGTGATGAACCCGATTTAACTGTGGCTGGTGATGAACCCGATTTAACTGTGGCTGGTGATGAACCCGATTTAACTGTGGCTGGTGATGAACCCGATTTAACTGTGGCTGGTGATGAACCCGATTTAACTGCAGCTGGTGATGAACCCGATTTAACTGCGGCTGGTGATGAACCCGATTTAACTGTGGCTGGTGATGAACCCGATTTAACTGTGGCTGGTGATGAACCCGATTTAACTGTGGCTGGTGATGAACCCGATTTAACTGTGGCTGGTGATGAACCCGATTTAACTGTGGCTGGTGATGAACCCGATTTAACTGCAGCTGGTGATGAACCTGATTTAACTGCGGCTGGTGATGAACCCGATTTAACTGTGGCTGGTGATGAACCCGATTTAACTGTGGCTGGTGATGAACCCGATTTAACTGCAGCTGGTGATGAACCCGATTTAACTGCGGCTGGTGATGAACCCGATTTAACTGCGGCTGGTGATGAACCCGATTTAACTGTGGCTGGTGATGAACCCGATTTAACTGTGGCTGGTGATGAACCCGATTTAACTGTGGCTGGTGATGAACCCGATTTAACTGTGGCTGGTGATGAACCCGATTTAACTGTGGCTGGTGATGAACCCGATTTAACTGCAGCTGGTGATGAACCTGATTTAACTGCGGCTGGTGATGAACCCGATTTAACTGTGGCTGGTGATGAACCCGATTTAACTGTGGCTGGTGATGAACCCGATTTAACTGCAGCTGGTGATGAACCCGATTTAACTGCGGCTGGTGATGAACCCGATTTAACTGTGGCTGGTGATGAACCCGATTTAACTGCGGCTGGTGATGAACCCGATTTAACTGCGGCTGGTGATGAACCCGATTTAACTGTGGCTGGTGATGAACCCGATTTAACTGTGGCTGGTGATGAACCCGATTTAACTGCGGCTGGTGATGAACCCGATTTAACTGCGGCTGGTCATGAACCCGATTTAACTGTGGCTGGTGATGAACCCGATTTAACTGTGGCTGGTGATGAACCCGATTTAACTGCAGCTGGTGATGAACCCGATTTAACTGCGGCTGGTGATGAACCCGATTTAACTGTGGCTGGTGATGAACCCGATTTAACTGCGGCTGGTGATGAACCCGATTTAACTGCGGCTGGTGATGAACCCGATTTAACTGCGGCTGGTGATGAACCCGATTTAACTGTGGCTGGTGATGAACCCGATTTAACTGTGGCTGGTGATGAACCCGATTTAACTGTGGCTGGTGATGAACCCGATTTAACTGCAGCTGGTGATGAACCCGATTTAACTGCGGCTGGTGATGAACCCGATTTAACTGTGGCTGGTGATGAACCCGATTTAACTGCGGCTGGTGATGAACCCGATTTAACTGCAGCTGGTGATGAACCCGATTTAACTGCGGCTGGTGATGAACCCGATTTAACTGTGGCTGGTGATGAACCCGATTTAACTGCGGCTGGTGATGAACCCGATTTAACTGCGGCTGGTGATGAACCCGATTTAACTGTGGCTGGTGATGAACCCGATTTAACTGTGGCTGGTGATGAACCCGATTTAACTGTGGCTGGTGATGAACCCGATTTAACTGTGGCTGGTGATGAACCCGATTTATGTACCACAGTTGGTGATGAACCCGATTTAACCACAGTAATCGTGGTTAAATCGGATTTATCACCAGTCCCTACCACGGAATTGGTAATGAACCCGGTGAAGCTGCATTTTTTCCATAAACATGAATGTGAAATGGATCTAATTCATTTTTATTGCAATGATGTCAGTGATATTATACAATATGTTTATTATTGTTTCTGCATAGTTAAATAAGTCATAATATTAATATTGTAATGAAGCTGTGGCCTAGTTTTATTAAGAATTGTTGCTGAAAAAAATGTAAAAAGAGTATTTTATGAATGTTTGGATGTCAAAAATGTATTATTCGAGCTTTTCGTCTAGAAGTGAATCAAATTCTTTAAATTATGGAGCCAGGGTGTGGCTTCACCTGGTTAAAACGATTCCATTTTACTTCAATCCATCCATAATTATATAATTAATTATTTTACCAATTCGTCACTGGACACAAATTTTGTAAATTTTGAAAAAATTTGTGATATTTCGGTCCAGGAAATATCGCATTTTAAAAATGGGAAATAATTTCTCTACTCGGAATCAAGATTTCAATATTCCAATTTGTTTCATGCTGTCCATGATAGTTAACTAACTAATTGGTCACTAAAGAAAAATTCATTAAATCTAAACTGCATGTGCACTGTGAATTTTGGCCCTGGGAATTTCATTTTTAAGTCGATCCAAGGGTAAATTTAATCTCAAATTGAAATATTGACTTCAGGCCTCCAAAAAAGGTTCGAAAAAAATAGTTTTGTAGCAATTTTTTTCCCTTTTTTGATTTTATCATCGATTAAGGTAAAATAAAAAATAATACACATTCTTTTCTTGGTAGCAATTTGTAAAACAACATTCCATTTTGTTAATTCTCAAAGCTTGTGGTTTCTAACCGTGACTCCTTCACATCATTATTGGCACGGCTCTGAATTAACACTTGTCGTTCAGAGCTGCGCAAACAATGCTGTGAAGGACCCACAGTTACAATCAATTGATACTGATATACACACAAGCTGGTTATGTAAATAAATTTACAATAATTCCTACTGCAAATCTTTCAAATTTCAATGTAAAATAATATCAATTTTATACCATGGAACATATTATAAAAGTAATAAATATCGTTATACATAGATCATAATTAAAATCTCAAACTGTCAACAATTCAATACACTCAAAAAATCACAATCCGCGGTTATCTTACGTCAGAGCCAAAGTAGACCAGAGTGAACTATAGTATACCAGAGTATACCAGAGTAAACTATAGTAAACTATAGTATGCCAGAGTAAACTATAGTATACCAGAGTAAACTATAATATACCAGAGTAAACTATAGTATACCAGAGTAAAATATAGTTTACCAGAGTAAAATATAGTTTACCAGAGTAAACTATAGTATACCAGAGTATACCAGAGTAAACTAGAGTGTATCAGAGTATACCAGAGTAAACTAGAGTGTATCAGAGTATACCAGAGTAAATTATAGTATATCAGAGTATACCAAAGTAAACTAGAGTATACCCGAGTAAACTAGAGTATACCCGAGTAAACTAGAGTATACCAGATTATACCCGAGTAAACTAGAGTATACCATAGTATACCCGAGTAAACTAGAGTATATCAGAGTATACCCGAGTAAACTAGAGTATACCCGAGTAAACTAGAGTAGATCAGAGTATACTAGAGTAAACTAGAGTATATCAGAGTATACCCGAGTAAACTAGAGTATACCAGAGTATACCAGAGTATACCAGAGTATACCAGAGTATACCAGAGTATACCAGAGTATACCAGAGTAAACTAGAGTATACCAGAGTATACTAGAGTACACCGTGTATAATCAAATTCATGAAATTCCTTACATCTGCCAGTTATATCTCAGTTACACTCAGTGGATTGCTGGAAGTTTTAACTTAAATTGTAAAAATAATCAAATCAGCCTAACTGATTGTCGCGTCAGTCATCCCTACAATCTAGCAAATAGCAGTGTATAAGTTATACGTTATATAAGTTATATAAACTATATAACTTATATAAGTTAACTTTTTAAAGTTAACTATATAAGTTATATTAACCATATATTAACCATCGTGTCCAAAAGTATTATAACCATATAACTAATATAACTTAACTTATACAACTTATATAAGTTAAAGAACGGTTCAATAATTTACCTATTTCCTAAAGATCTATAAATCTACAAAGACCTTAACATGGATTGATCAGACATTGTCACTAATTCAAAATCAGGTAAAATACTAAAATAGCAAAACTGGCCTATATGGTCACAGGGCCCATGACAGACCTAAATACTTATTGGGAGGCAAACCATATTTGTTTTGACACACGAAAGTGATTTTTTGTTTTGATTGGTCAATGCTGGAATCTGATTGGCAAATCACCGCCACGTGTCCGAAAAAATCACGCATTACCCCCCACGCAGTATCCAGAGATCTACACCATAATATAGTCACACAGCGCAAACTAAACACCTCACACACACACACTCCCTCATCTCTTCTCCTCAAACCTAAGTCCCTGACTCCTCACCTCCAGAGGGGACACTATCGGGCTCATCTTGAGTCCGTGGAGTCCCAGCGCAGACAGAGGAGAGGATAACTGCATCAGCCGGTCAATAGCCCTGTCAGTCACACCCCTACTTATAGCACTGAAAGCGCTGGGACGGGACAGAGAAGACGCGAGATCAGAGTAAAGAGGGACGAGTTGAGGGGCCAGCAGTTCTCTAGCAAGAGCAGGGGATGAGAGTAGATCCCGTGTGGTGGAGGCTAGTGTCACGGAATTGGTGAGGGGGGTCAGGGTGTAGTTTAGCCAGTTAGGGGTGGGCACTGTTTTTACTGTGCGAAGGTGCATGTAGGATTTGTCTGCTTTGCTGAGGTTAGGGCGTCGTCTCAACTTTCCTCCGATAAACACCTGTGTAAGTTCGAATTCAGCTTTCTCGCTTTTTGTCGCGTGATTGCTCGCATTATGATTATATTTGTTTCATAAATACAGTGATTAATTATCAAGAGTTTGAAGGGTTGAAAGCATCTAGCTACAAAATAAAATATAATTTCAAATCACCCTTTTTAAGAAAGATCCACTCAATTTATTGCAATTAAAAAGTTAGTTACCTCATCACTTGAAGGGTTCAGCATCCAGTAGTTACCCTTCCCAGGATCGTTGTAGTGCCGGGGGACCTTCACAAAACACTTGTTCAGGGATAAGTTGTGTCGAATACTGTTCTGCCAACCCTGGGATCAGTATTGGTTAATGGATAATTAATGAGTTATTACTCGCTCAATTCGTGTTTTAGTGAGGAAAGTTTATTACGTTCCTATCAGTTTTTAGATTATTTTAATGGACTGTTTTCTTGATCTTGCAAAATTTGGATCAGTCATTTATATGTGACGTTGCTAGAAAATTGACTATCGTTTAAGTTCCAAATTTATCACTGAGTGCATATTCGCTTTGTTTTTTTTTTTTTCATTTAAATTGACTTCAATTAACTTTGTGGTTAACATTGCATATTTGTAGTTGCATATTTGTTTGTTTTCCATGTGACTGAATGAAAGCTTGTGTGTTTGGTTCATGAAATGTCCTAATTCCCTGTAGGAAGTAACTAAGTAAGAAGAAGCCAGTAAGAACTAGCTACCAATGTACACAACTCTCTCACTGTGACGATACATTTGCAATGCTTGCAACATGGCTACTTTCCTTCCAAGACAAATAGCCGCGCGACTGTGTTGTGCTTCTTCAAATTGAATTAAGGTACAAAAGTTTCTTGTCTACAAGCACCATTACCCCGTCTATGTGCATCCACCCATACAATAACTGTTATCATGTGAGATGACTAAACTGTCAAAGCAGTAGCAGTACTAGTAACCATAGTAACTTTAGTAACTATAGTAACTCAGAACAAACAAAGATTGACTGGACATGTCCTTGTGAGGCACGGACACCGCTACACATCACACCCAGGTGCTACCTGGGGGCACAGACAGCTTTCACAAAACAACACCACGTGACTACTTTATTGCTTAACGTGGACCGTGTCAAGGAAAAGCATTTTTCCGCCTATAACCTGTTTAATACTGTTTCAATAATACGTGGCGTAGTCTGTTTTATTTCTACAGTCCCAGTTTCTTATTCTCCTTGTGGCACTGCTAGTTCACGAGATGATGTTGGTATTATTGGTGATCGCTCTTCTGGCACCGAGCCAAGTGTTTGGTCTCGAGGGTTGCAGTTCCGGAGACACTGCGTTTATGTGCAAGAATCTAAATGTTTGCTGGACAGCACTTGGTTTTGCAAGCAGAGACGATCTTAAGTATCTCTGTGAGATTCAAGGTTTAGCTTTACTTCTGATAATGTTGATTCCTCTTTATATTCAAATATGCTATATCCTGCTAATCCATATCTTAATATCCTACTTATTTATAATTATATAATCTATGTGACTTCTACAGGATTTACCTACGATGACGAAGGCGGCTCAGGAAGCCAGGATGATAGCTTTGTTGTCATAACAACCCCACCAAGAAACCTGACCGTAGCCGAGGGTACGGCAGCTGCGTTCAGGTGTTCTGCTGATAACGCTCTTAGGATTGTCATTATCAAGAATAACGAGGTAAGTGTTTGGGTTGTGGAATTTACATGGGAAATATGTCAAGTTTAGATGGAAATCAAGACATGGGACAGTGTGAGCTTTATAACCACTAGCATGGTACCCGTCCTCTGGACGACAATAATTCTTTACTTTTACTGACACTACGTTTTCTAAATTTATTGGGTCAAATTTAAAGACAGCATTTTCAAATATTAGACCAACTAAAAGATAGCTGAGATTTTCATTAAAAGATAATCCAGCAGTGATTTCACTATAAGGGTAATCCAGCAGTGGTTCAAAAGTTTCTTGTAACATTATATGATTATATCGTTCAGTTAAACAAGAAGCGACTACAAGATAACATGAACGAGGGTAATCCCACACAACAAACCACCATACAAGAGATAGACGCTGCTTTTTACGAACACGAAGGTTTGAAAACTGATTCCAGTAGCTGACTGGTCACTGGTAACAGCTCACTGGTCACAGCTCACTGGTCACAGCTCACTGGTCACAGCTGACTGGTAACCAGGGATTTTTTATAATTCTTGAACCTCTTCTATTGATGGTGTAAAATATAAAATGAACCTTCGAGCTCCTAATTACAGTCATAACTTCTGATTACCGTAAACCTATGAATGATATAAAATTGAACCATCAGAGAAGGACAAACACAGCCCTGAGGGTTAATGTAGACTAAACAACAGTTCCCTTACTAAACAACAGTAGGTATAGCTACACAACAGTTCCCTTACTAAACAACAGTTCCCTTACTAAACAACAGTTCCCTTACTAAACAACAGTAGGTAGCTACACAACAGTTCCCTTACTAAACAACAGTTCCCTTACTAAACAACAGTTGCTACACAACAGTAACCTTACTAAACAACAGTTCCCTTACTAAGCAACAGTTGCTACACAACAGTTCCCTTACTAAACAACAGTTCCCTTACTAAGCAACAGTTGCTACACAACCCTTTCAGGCTGGTACACGTGTACAGCTTACGGTGTAGGAGGCACCAGTGTTTCAAGTGAGGCGTATCTAGAAATAAGAGATATCTGTGGTGGTGCTGACTGCCAGGACCCAAAGGTAGTCTCAGTTCGTGTTTCTTATGTGAAAACGTTCCTTGACAATTAATGCTTTGACTTAATGTGGAATTAGTTCTTACTTCAGATAGTATATGCCCGGAGTGATATTATTGATTATGTTGGCTCCGAAGGGACCTTATATTATTGTTATTACTTTTGTAGGGACTACGGGTCATGATGATCAATTACTATTATCAATCACCATAACCAATAATCAATTATTATAATCAATTATCATAATTAATCATGATGATTATTGATTAATAACAATATCTAATTACAACAAACACAACCGCCCCCTCCTCAGATCTGTGAACCCGACGCGTACACCGGCGAATACGAGTGTGTGTGTCCGGGCGACTGTGACGCTCAGTTCGATCCAGTGTGTGGCAGTGACTGTGCTAGTTACTTTAACGAGTGCACTCTTAAGAAGGAGACGTGTGAGAAGGGGCTGGTTGGGGTCACTGTGGCAAGCAGGGGACTGTGCTCCTTCTCTCCAACTGGTGAGACGCGCGCAGTTACACGTGTTTAGACTCTTTAGAGGTGTCTTCTAATTCCAGGAATATTTGTCCATCCAAATCTTTGCTTTCATCGAAGATTCTTTACTTGTTTAGAGACGTGAAAAAATAATCTACGAATATAAATTATTTTAAAACCTCAAACCTATTCTAACACCCCAACCTAATCCAGCTCCTCAGATAAGAACATCACCTTCTGACGCAGAATACAAACGAGGCTCCGACTTGAACCTGGAAGCCTCGGCTACTGGTACTCCTGAACCGTCCTACGTGTGGTTCGCGAATGGTGTGCAGGTTGGGGAGGGGAACGTGTTCACTGGGACTATGAAGTCTAACTTTCAGGGTAAGTGGAGATGTGCAGTCTGGTGGAGGCATGTTTGCTGCCACGTGACAGTTATTATGACGTTTGATTGATCAACAGTGGATGCTGATTGGTTTAAAAATATGCCCCACCTCACCACTAGATTCCACATTAATTGTTAACCACTATAATTTAACAGCCTTAACTGTAAGGAATGCTATTTTCGACTTTTAATGGGCTACTTGACGATATTTTCGTCAACCGATGAAATGCAATAGAAACCCAACCTTGCATAAAGCCAACACCCTGATTTTTATACCCTTATACGGCCATAACGTGATACCCAAATAAGGTAATGCCCAAATAAGGTAATATCATAACATTCTGCAGGAGACTGGGAGGTGAAAGCTGCTAACTGTCACGGCTCTTTTGAGACAGCCGCTTCTTTCAGACTGAGTATGGTGACTGATGAGGACCTTACCCCACCTGATGATCAGGTTACTACTTATCTGTGATGATTTAATACGTGTAACTATTAGTGCTGTTCGCATGCTCATTAGATCATTGTCATCACTGAGTCGATCTAGAAAAATCAGAACGACTCATCAAATGAGACTCAAGACTTAATCAGATGCTCTATATACATACAAATGGTCTCTGATAGAAAACGTCCGTGTTTGACCTTGAAGAGTGAAGACCCTAATCTATACGCCATGATAAACCCCTCAAAAACTGTCAGATCAGTACAACCAATACTTGCCATCACTCCCCCTCCCCTACTGCAGTATTATAAAAGTATAAACCCTCACTCCCCTACTCTCCCCTTCAGTGTTGTAAAGTATACGGTGACCCCCACATCCTTACATTTGACGGTAAAGCGTACGACTACATGGGTATCGGAACATTTGTGATAGCTCAACACGAGGAGGGACTATGGGTGGTGTACGGGAACTTTGAGGCTTGTGGGGATAAGACAAAGCAGCTGTCATGTGTTACCAGTATTACTGGTAAGTAATAGTTATTAGTCATCAGTAATAAGTACTTATTGTCATGTGTTACCAGTATTACTGGTAAGTAATAGTTATTAGTCATCAGTAATAAGTACTTATTGTCATGTGTTACCAGTATTACTGGTAAGTAATAGTTATTAGTCATCAGTAATAAGTATTTATTGTCATGTGTTACCAGTATTACTGGTAAGTAATAGTTATTAGTCATCAGTAATAAGTATTTATTGTCATGTGTTACCAGTATTACTGGTAAGTAATAGTTATTAGTCATCAGTAATAAGTACTTATTGTCATGTGTCACCAGTATTACTGGTAAGTAATAGTTATTAGTCATCAGTAATAAGTAGTTATTGTCATGTGTTACCAGTATTACTGGTAAGTAATAGTTATTAGTCATCAGTAATAAGTATTTATTGTCATGTGTTACCAGTATTACTGGTAAGTAATAGTTATTAGTCATCAGTAATAAGTACTTATTGTCATGTGTTACCAGTATTACTGGTAAGTAATAGTTATTAGTCATCAGTAATAAGTACTTATTGTCATGTGTTACCAGTATTACTGGTAAGTAATAGTTATTAGTCATCAGTAATAAGTACTTATTGTCATGTGTTACCAGTATTACTGGTAAGTAATAGTTATTAGTCATCAGTAATAAGTACTTATTGTCATGTGTCACCAGTATTACTGGTAAGTAATAGTTATTAGTCATCAGTAATAAGTAGTTATTGTCATGTGTCACCAGTATTACTGGTAAGTAATAGTTATTAGTCATCAGTAATAAGTACTTATTGTCATGTGTTACCAGTATTACTGGTAAGTAATAGTTATTAGTCATCAGTAATAAGTACTTATTGTCATGTGTTACCAGTATTACTGGTAAGTAATAGTTATTAGTCATCAGTAATAAGTACTTATTGTCATGTGTTACCAGTATTACTGGTAAGTAATAGTTATTAGTCATCAGTAATAAGTATTTATTGTCATGTGTCACCAGTATTACTGGTAAGTAATAGTTATTAGTCATCAGTAATAAGTATTTATTGTCATGTGTTACCAGTATTACTGGTAAGTAATAGTTATTAGTCATCAGTAATAAGTACTTTCTACTTATTGTCAAGTGTTACCAGTATTACTGGTAAGTAATAGTTATTAGTTATCAGTAATAAGTACTTATTGTCATGTGTCACCAGTATTACTGGTAAGTAATAGTTATTAGTCATCAGTAATAAGTATTTATTGTCATGTGTTACCAGTATTACTGGTAAGTAATAGTTATTAGTCATCAGTAATAAGTATTTATTGTCATGTGTCACCAGTATTACTGGTAAGTAATAGTTATTAGTCATCAGTAATAAGTATTTATTGTCATGTGTTACCAGTATTACTGGTAAGTAATAGTTATTAGTCATCAGTAATAAGTATTTATTGTCATGTGTCACCAGTATTACTGGTAAGTAATAGTTATTAGTCATCAGTAATAAGTATTTATTGTCATGTGTTACCAGTATTACTGGTAAGTAATAGTTATTAGTCATCAGTAATAAGTACTTATTGTCATGTGTTACCAGTATTACTGGTAAGTAATAGTTATTAGTCATCAGTAATAAGTACTTATTGTCATGTGTTACCAGTATTACTGGTAAGTAATAGTTATTAGTCATCAGTAATAAGTATTTATTGTCATGTGTTACCAGTATTACTGGTAAGTAATAGTTATTAGTCATCAGTAATAAGTACTTATGGTCATGTGTTACCAGTATTACTGGTAAGTAATAGTTATTAGTCATCAGTAATAAGTACTTATTGTCATGTGTCACCAGTATTACTGGTAAGTAATAGTTATTAGTCATCAGTAATAAGTACTTATTGTCATGTCTTACCAGTATTACTGGTAAGTAATAGTTATTAGTCATCAGTAATAAGTACTTATTGTCATGTGTCACCAGTATTACTGGTAAGTAATAGTTATTAGCCATCAGTAATAAGTACTTATTGTCATGTCTTACCAGTATTACTGGTAAGTAATAGTTATTAGTCATCAGTAATAAGTATTTATTGTCATGTGTTACCAGTATTACTGGTAAGTAATAGTTATTAGTCATCAGTAATAAGTACTTATTGTCATGTGTCACCAGTATTACTGGTAAGTAATAGTTATTAGTCATCAGTAACAAGTACTTTCTACTTATTGTCATGTGTTACCAGTATTACTGGTAAGTAATAGTCATTAGTCATCAGTAATAAGTATTTATTGTCATGTGTCACCAGTATTACTGGTAAGTAATAGTTATTAGTCATCAGTAATAAGTATTTATTGTCATGTGTTACCAGTATTACTGGTAAGTAATAGTTATTAGTCATCAGTAATAAGTATTTATTGCTTTATTGTCATGTGTCACCAGTATTACTGGTAAGTAATAGTTATTAGTCATCAGTAATAAGTATTTATTGTCATGTGTTACCAGTATTACTGGTAAGTAATAGTTATTAGTCATCAGTAATAAGTACTTATTGTCATGTGTCACCAGTATTACTGGTAAGTAATAGTTATTAGTCATCAGTAATAAGTATTTATTGTCATGTGTTACCAGTATTACTGGTAAGTAATAGTTATTAGTCATCAGTAATAAGTACTTATTGTCATGTGTCACCAGTATTACTGGTAAGTAATAGTTATTAGTCATCAGTAATAAGTACTTATTGTCATGTGTTACCAGTATTACTGGTAAGTAATAGTCATTAGTCATCAGTAATAAGTATTTATTGTCATGTGTCACCAGTATTACTGGTAAGTAATAGTTATTAGTCATCAGTAATAAGTATTTATTGTCATGTGTTACCAGTATTACAGGTAAGTAATAGTTATTAGTTATCAGTAATAAGTACTTATTGTCATGTGTTACCAGTATTACTGGTAAGTAATAGTTATTAGTTATCAGTAATAAGTACTTATTGTCATGTGTTACCAGTATTACTGGTAAGTAATAGTTATTAGTCATCAGTAATAAGTATTTATTGTCATGTGTTACCAGTATTACTGGTAAGTAATAGTTATTAGTCATCAGTAATAAGTATTTATTGTCATGTGTCACCAGTATTACTGGTAAGTAATAGTTATTAGTCATCAGTAATAAGTATTTATTGTCATGTGTCACCAGTATTACTGGTAAGTAATAGTTATTAGTCATCAGTAATAAGTATTTATTGTCATGTGTCACCAGTATTACTGGTAAGTAATAGTTATTAGTCATCAGTAATAAGTACTTATTGTCATGTGTCACCAGTATTACTGGTAAGTAATAGTTATTAGTCATCAGTAATAAGTATTTATTGTCATGTGTCACCAGTATTACTGGTAAGTAATAGTTATTAGTCATCAGTAATAAGTACTTATTGTCATGTGTCACCAGTATTACTGGTAAGTAATCGTTATTAGTCATCAGTAATAAGTATTTATTGTCATGTGTCACCAGTATTACTGGTAAGTAATAGTTATTAGTCATCAGTAATAAGTATTTATTGTCATGTGTCACCAGTATTACTGGTAAGTAATAGTTATTAGTCATCAGTAATAAGTACTTATTGTCATGTGTCACCAGTATTACTGGTAAGTAATAGTTATTAGTCATCAGTAATAAGTATTTATTGTCATGTGTCACCAGTATTACTGGTAAGTAATAGTTATTAGTCATCAGTAATAAGTACTTATTGTCATGTGTCACCAGTATTACTGGTAAGTAATAGTTATTAGTCATCAGTAATAAGTACTTATTGTCATGTGTTACCAGTATTACTGGTAAGTAATAGTTATTAGTTATCAGTAATAAGTATTTATTTTCATGTGTTACCAGTATTACTGGTAAGTAATAGTTATTAGTCATCAGTAATAAGTATTTATTGTCATGTGTCACCAGTATTACTGGTAAGTAATAGTTATTAGTTATCAGTAATAAGTATTTATTGTCATGTGTCACCAGTATTACTGGTAAGTAATAGTTATTAGTCATCAGTAATAAGTATTTATTGTCATGTGTCACCAGTATTACTGGTAAGTAATAGTTATTAGTCATCAGTAATAAGTACTTATTGTCATGTGTTACCAGTATTACTGGTAAGTAATAGTTATTAGTCATCAGTAATAAGTACTTATTGTCATGTGTTACCAGTATTACTGGTAAGTAATAGTTATTAGTCATCAGTAATAAGTATTTATTGTCATGTGTTACCAGTATTACTGGTAAGTAATAGTTATTAGTCATCAGTAATAAGTACTTATTGTCATGTGTTACCAGTATTACTGGTAAGTAATAGTTATTAGTCATCAGTAATAAGTACTTATTGTCATGTGTTACCAGTATTACTGGTAAGTAATAGTTATTAGTCATCAGTAATAAGTACTTATTGTCATGTGTTACCAGTATTACTGGTAAGTAATAGTTATTAGTCATCAGTAATAAGTATTTATTGTCATGTGTCACCAGTATTACTGGTAAGTAATAGTTATTAGTCATCAGTAATAAGTATTTATTGTCATGTGTCACCAGTATTACTGGTAAGTAATAGTTAGTCATCAGTAAAAGTACTATTGATCTAATGGGTAAAGAAAGGTCATGTCAATAGTCAATAGTCATCAGCTATATAGTGAAGTACTATGTAGTCAGTGGTCCCAGATTACTGGAATGGTAAATATTTATGTATCACATCAAGTTTTTGTATGTGTTTACCATATTACTGTATAAAGTGTTTTAGTCATCAGTAAAGTTCATTTCTATGTGGATAAACATAAACTGGTAAGAAGTTATTATGTCATCAGTACAAGGTTATTATTGACTAATTGATACAGATATAATACGTAAGTAACAAGCTTTTAATTAGTTATAATAATATTTATTTCATGTTAATACCAAAATATTACTTGGCAATAATACGAATTTTGATCTTAAAATTACAGTATTATTGTAATCACTGAACACCCGTATCTGCTGGTACGTAATAGCTAATTAGGTTTCGTAAATGAAGTAATTAATTTCCAGTGATAGTATTCATGAGAATAATGAAATACGTTATCTAGGTCATCAGTATAAAGTAAATGGTCATGTGTTACACCCGTATTCTGGTCTAGCAATTTACTGTCGTATTATCTATCACGTAATGAAGTTTATATTTATAGTCACAGTTTTTTTACTAGGTAAGTATAAGTAGTATTAATACAGTAATAAGTCAATTTATTGTCCATGTGATTGAAGTAATTACTGTAATAAAGTATATTAGTCAGCAGTACATAAGTACTGATAATTGTATCCAGTGTGTTACCCAGATACTGGTAAGTAATCCGATGAGTTCTCTCAGTTAAAAATACATCTATAGTAATTTGTATTCTACCTTTCACGGTAAAGTATCAATAGATTATTATGGATCATCAGTAATAAAGCGAATTATTGTCTGATAAACCAGTACTTACGGTAAGCTCACTCAGTTATCATTCATCAGTACATAAGTATTTATTTTCATGGTTACCATATTACTGGCAAGTAATAGTTATTATCATCAGTAATAAGTATTCATTGTCATGTGTCACCAGTATTACTGGTAAGTAATAGTTATTAGTTATCAGTAATAAGTATTTATTGTCATGTGTCACTAGTATTACTGGTAAGTAATAGTTATTAGTCATCAGTAATAAGTATTTATTGTCATGTGTTACCAGTATTACTGGTAAGTAATAGTTATTAGTCATCAGTAATAAGTACTTATTGTCATGTGTAACCAGTATTACTGGTAAGTAATAGTTATTAGTCATCAGTAATAAGTATTTATTGTCATGTGTTACCAGTATTACTGGTAAGTAATAGTTATTAGTCATCAGTAATAAGTACTTATTGTCATGTGTTACCAGTATTACTGGTAAGTAATAGTTATTAGTCATCAGTAATAAGTACTTATTGATTACGTTATATTACTTTCTTGTAAGAATTTCTGTTAAATCGTACAGTAGCTACTAAAGAAGTTTTGTGTAAGTCGGTCAATATGCTGAAATGTCAGATATTAAATAAAATAAAAGGTCAGATCTCTACTTACTAACAATTATTAATTGGTTTTTACTACTAATTATTACTCTTCTATAACAGTGTTTTACGAGAACGAGAAAGTTCAGTTTCTGAGAATGTGGCGGATAAACAATAATGGGAAGGAGTTTATGGTACCTCTAGGCGGATCTAGATACATAGGTTAGTAGGTTAGAACTTAAATCTAGATAAACTAGATATAATACGTAAATGTAGAGCGAAGGCTTTTGTGGGAATTAGGTTAAATAATTCATGATTTGCAGCTTAAACTTAAAATGGCCAAGAGAGTTATAATGACTTGGGATCTAACTATGACATTTTGATCTTAAACAAACTTTTCACAGTCTCAACTCTGAAGCTTGACCTAAATCAACTAAACAGCCTGCCTGTGCCCTGCGGTGCTTACATGTAGCTAATTCAGGCCCACTTTGTAAATAGCGCTGAAGTAATTAACCCCTTTCCAGGTGGCATCTTCATTGAGAACATAGACTTGAAATACGTTGCGACTCTAGGGAGCACTGGAGTTAAAGTCAAGTGGGACGGAATTGTTACAAGCCAGGTAAATCTTGTGCCTCTTCTGCAGAATTCTACTTATCGTTTATTCTATCAGCGAATGAGGGCTTTGTCATATTATAGTAGTTTTTTTAATTATATAAAGATATAAGTAGTATTAAAAACTAAAACAAGCCAACTTTATTCTCTCCACTGAAACGATTTAAGTAATTTCACTTAATCATGAAAAACGACTGATTCCCAAGGGAGCAGCTGATACCAAATGTTCCCGCAACTGATAATCCCTGCTAATCCCAGGTATGCGTGTCTAAATGCGCTGGAAACACTGGAGGACTGTGTGCTAACGCTAATTGTGACGCGGGAGATGAGTTTCTCTCGTAAGTTGATAATTACATGTCGCTAATCAGCTAATTTGTATCTCTACCCTTTCCCACGGTAAAAGTATCCAATTGAAGATATATTTCCAATGGATTGCTATCTGAGGAATATGCCGAAATAATGATCTGATAAACCCAAGCTACCCCTTCCCCAGGTAGCCTCCTCCAGTTTAATAACTTACTAGCCCCCCCTCACCCACCCCTCCCCCACTAACATTCCCCTTCCTACAGGAGAGGCTTCATGAACCCATACACTGGCAGTTGGGCTGCTGCTTCCAGTTCCGAGTTCGGCAACAGTTGGGCTGTTGATCCTGATACTGCAGTAATGGAACCAGAGGATGGTGCCCTCCCTATCTATAGGTATCTACTAAAGTACTAATATTACTAATATTACTAAAGTACTAATATTACTAATATTACTAAAGTACTAATATTACTAAAGTACTAATATTACTAATATTACTAAAGTACTAATATCACCAATATTACTAAAGTACTAATATTACTAATATTACCAATATTACTAATATTACTAATATTACTAATATTACTAATATTACTAATATTACTAATATTACTAATATTACTAATATTACTAATATTACTAATATTACTAAAGTACTAATATTACTAAAGTACTAATATTACTAATATTACTAATATTACTAATAGTAATATAATAGTTCCCGCTACCAGAACAAGTAAATAAAGTAAAAGTGCTATAAATTTGTGGTATTTAAATTAGCTTGTTTTTACAATAAACACCTTCAAGACCCTTTCTGACGTGACTCTGTTAAATACTCTTATGAAGGGAATAAAAGAGTATTATAAACTTATAAAGGAGTATTTGTCTCCATCTCTATAAGTCAGTTAGCTGGATAAACTCTTTCTCTTTATAAGACGTAGTGCCTCAACTACACGACTACAATCTTAGCAGATATTGAGATATTGCTACATTTCACATCTGTTTTCACAGAGATAGGCCCTGTGATGCTGTGCCAGCTGAAGAGAGATCTGCAGTTGAAGCTAGATGTAACGCAATCATGAACCTCGGGGACTTCAATATTCTCGCAGGTAAAAACTTTAAGCTCTACTTATATTTTTAATAGATACGTTGTTTTAATGTCCGTATCATGACACACAAAATGTCGCACATGACGACGAACATAAAGGCTCCCCTTTATAATGTTAATGTTTGTTATACGTTACTGTTATACGTTAATGTCCTAACATACCCCTCTTACGCAAAGAAGGCAACGTGGTCGACTCAGAGAAGATTCTAGCAAACTGTTACTTTGACGGGTGTGCCGGGCTGGTGTTTGGAGCTGGGTGTAAGACTACTGGAGATGGTTCCTGTACTGCGGAGATTGAGGACCTTATTGCTGCTGCTATAGCTGCAGGTTTGGGAGTGTCTTAACTTTTTTCCTTTCATATTAGTTTTCACGAAATTTTTGGGATTCTTGATTTTAAGCCTGTTTTGTTCCACCTAAGTATGAGTCTAACTTGATTCTATTCAGGAGGTTCTCTAAAGATGATATTTTATTCGAAGAATCCAAGAGCCTAAACTTTATATGATTCGCCTCTCCAAACAAATCTGAAGTGTCTTAACTTGCTACAGTTAAACCCAGATGTAACGCGGGCATCCCCTTTACCTGAATTATGGCTTAACACTTTTACAGCAATAAATATAATGCGAATAAACAAAACCCCATATTTACCATGGCTGTACTTTCCCAAAATTCCGCGACAAATCAGGGTTTTACTGTAGCTCGCAATGACTTACTTAACAGTTTTCTTCTATTTACAGTTTTAGTTTAGAAAACTTTCTTAGCTTTTACGGAAGGAAACCTCTTTATATCTCATGTAATTATGAAATGTTCTAAAGTTTCATAAAATTTCAGTCGTCGTAAGTTTTGTTATATTCTCAAGTAGTCCTTATAGTTATATCCAGTTCCGTAGAATCTGAATGCTTCGTTTTAATGCTATGCACAATATCTTGCCTAATGCCTTGTATCTATTGTTTCAACTTTGTAACAGCCCTATATCTATTGTTCCAACTGTATCACAGCCTTATATCTTTATACCTATTGTTTCAACTTTGCCCTATATCTATTGTTCCAACTCTATAACAGGCTTACAACACTGAATAGTAATCCCCCACTGAATAGCAATCCCTCAAATCTCTAAATATACCTCTCTCCCCTCCTCTGACACCCTGTGTTGCCTCAACAGTAACATTTCTTGTGAGCAGCCAACAAGACTGGCGCCACCCTAACGACCCTGGTAACAGTTCCCCAGCAACTCTTACCTAGCAACTCTTACCCAGCAACTCTTACCCAGCCCTCTAACACACCTGGATCATCCCCCATCTACTGTAGTTATTGTTATATTATATAAGTGTACAATACTAAAGATTCAATATCTCTGAATTATTCAAACAGTCAATATGCTCTCATAACATTCTAACACTGTTACTGTTGCTACTTAACCAGATTTACACCATTACATCACAGAGGGCTCTGGGCTACAGATCTTCCAATTCAACTTATGATTACGATCATAGAAAATATTTCCTTGTGTATAAAATGGTACCTAAGAAAGTAAGAAGGCTATATCATAACACTGTAACTATTACTAAACCAGATTTACCCTACCTCCCCCAGGTATGAGCATGGCAGAAGCTATAGCAAAGTACGGTAGTCAGGGTCTAGACTCAGCCTGCATGATGGGAATGGAGCTGGCAGGGGAGCTGGAGAGGTGGGGTGTGGATATAGGGAGCGGGTGGAGGGAGCAGGTGAGCCCGCCGTGTCCGGGGGATCAGGAGATAGCTGCTATGAAGATATGTCCTACTTAGTGGGGAGGCTGTTTGGCGGAGAGGAGAGTTAGAGGTGGAGGCAGGTTTGTGAAGATATTAGAGACAGTGGGGGTTAATGGAGGTGATCGGTTAATGCAATAATGCAGTCATGGTTTTAAAACGGCCGTTCATTCGAAATGAAGCTCGTAATCTTTTTGTGTGATGTTTTCATATTTTTAGAATTTTAGAATTGTTGACCAAGTTTTCAAGTTTTGCTTACACCATTTTTGATACAATTGTATGGATAACACTTGAGATTTGATAATATAAAATTGTTAAAAATGTATTTTTACTAGTTTACTTACAGAAAAAATGTGTTTATAAATAAAAGCCATGATTAGACTTTACAATTTATGAACCAATAAATTAATATTCAAGCACACAATTTGTTCATTAATTTGTAGTTTACCTGTTTGTTATCCCGATAGTATGGAAACTTTCCCATTATAAACTCGTATATCTCACTAAGAGTCAATCTTTGGTTGGGAGAGGACCTTATAGCCATGGCTATCAGTGCGTTGTAACTGAAATTGAGTGAGATTAGAAGTTAATATTGTAACCGGAAATAAAGGAGGCTAGATTTGCTTTGTTAGGACTCTCGCTCATTAATAATAATTATTTCTCGGTAATTCAGATAGGTGAATTATGAATGTGATTCTTTATAAAATTCTTATTAAATCAGTTTCAAATCACAAGATATGAAAAAAAAAAACAAAAATATCTATTATCAGTATCACAAATTTATATGCTAAAATAGCACACGTGGAGGTTTGTTACATTAGTTTGGGTTACGGAGTTTCCAATTCAACTTATTATAACTACGAAACTATTCGTTGTGTTTGAAAAAGTACCTGTAAGGGGGCTTTGCAAACTTGGTGGCAGGTTTCACTTGCTCAGTGTTGAGGGAAACAGTCACTTGGGTTCCTTGTTCCGTTAAGTTAGGAGGTGTCCTCCGGACTGGAAATAATAAATCATTTAGATTATGTAATGAATCAATACATACATAATATTATCATTAAGGTATGATGGAGGACTTGATGGAGGGAAAGAGGAGGCGAAGGAGTGATGGAGGGAAAGAGGGAGAGAAGGAGTGAGGGAGGGAAAGAGGGAGAGAAGGAGTGAGGGAGGGAAAGAGGGAGAGAAGGAGTGAGGGAGGGAAAGAGGAGGCGAAGGAGTGAGGGAGGGAAAGAGGGAGAGAAGGAGTGAGGGAGGGAAAGAGGGAGAGAAGGAGTGATGGAGGGAAAGAGGGAGAGAAGGAGTGAGGGAGGGAAAGAGGAGGCGAAGGAGTGAGGGAGGGAAAGAGGGAGAGAAGGAGTGAGGGAGGGAAAGAGGGAGAGAAGGAGTGATGGAGGGAAAGAGGGAGAGAAGGAGTGAGGGAGGGAAAGAGGAGGCGAAGGAGTGATGGAGGGAAAGAGGGAGAGAAGGAGTGATGGAGGGAAAGAGGGAGAGAAGGAGTGATGGAGGGAAAGAGGGAGAGAAGGAGTGAGGGAGGGAAAGAGGGAGAGAAGGAGTGAGGGAGGGAAAGAGGGAGAGAAGGAGTGAGGGAGGGAAAGAGGAGGCGAAGGAGTGATGGAGGGAAAGAGGGAGAGAAGGAGTGATGGAGGGAAAGAGGGAGAGAAGGAGTGATGGAGGGAAAGAGGAGGCGAAGGAGTGAGGGAGGGAAAGAGGGGGAGAAGGAGTGATGGAGGGAAAGATGAGGCGAAGGAGTGATGGAGGGAAAGAGGGAGAGAAGGAGTGATGGAGGGAAAGAGGGAGAGAAGGAGTGAGGGAGGGAAAGAGGGAGAGAAGGAGTGAGGGAGGGAAAGAGGGAGAGAAGGAGTGATGGAGGGAAAGAGGGAGAGAAGGAGTGAGGGAGGGAAAGAGGGGGAGAAGGAGTGAGGGAGGGAAAGAGGGAGAGAAGGAGTTAGGGAGGGAAAGAGGGAGAGAAGGAGTGATGGAGGGAAAGAGGGAGATAAGGAGTGAGGGAGGGAAAGAGGGAGAGAAGGAGTGAGGGAGGGAAAGAGGGAGATAAGGAGTGAGGGAGGGAAAGAGGGAGAGAAGGAGTGAGGGAGGGAAAGAGGGAGAGAAGGAGTGAGGGAGGGAAAGAGGGGGAGAAGGAGTGATGGAGGGAAAGAGGGAGAGAAGGAGTGAGGGAGGGAAAGAGGGAGAGAAGGAGTGATGGAGGGAAAGAGGGAGAGAAGGAGTGAGGGAGGGAAAGAGGGAGAGAAGGAGTGAGGGAGGGAAAGAGGGAGAGAAGGAGTGATGGAGGGAAAGAGGGAGAGAAGGAGTGAGGGAGGGAAAGAGGGGGAGAAGGAGTGATGGAGGGAAAGAGGGAGAGAAGGAGTGAGGGAGGGAAAGAGGGAGAGAAGGAGTGATGGAGGGAAAGAGGGAGAGAAGGAGTGAGGGAGGGAAAGAGGGAGAGAAGGAGTGAGGGAGGGAAAGAGGGAGAGAAGGAGTGATGGAGGGAAAGAGGGAGAGAAGGAGTGAGGGAGGGAAAGAGGGAGAGAAGGAGTGAGGGAGGGAAAGAGGGAGAGAAGGAGTGATGGAGGGAAAGAGGGAGAGAAGGAGTGAGGGAGGGAAAGAGGGGGAGAAGGAGTGATGGAGGGAAAGAGGGAGAGAAGGAGTGAGGGAGGGAAAGAGGGAGAGAAGGAGTGATGGAGGGAAAGAGGGAGAGAAGGAGTGAGGGAGGGAAAGAGGGAGAGAAGGAGTGAGGGAGGGAAAGAGGGAGAGAAGGAGTGATGGAGGGAAAGAGGAAGAGAAGGAGTGATGGAGGGAAAGAGGGAGAGAAGGAGTGAGGGAGGGAAAGAGGGAGAGAAGGAGTGATGGAGGGAAAGAGGGAGAGAAGGAGTGAGGGAGGGAAAGAGGGAGAGAAGGAGTGATGGAGGGAAAGAGGGAGAGAAGGAGTGAGGGAGGGAAAGAGGGAGAGAAGGAGTGAGGGAGGGAAAGAGGGAGAGAAGGAGTGATGGAGGGAAAGAGGGAGAGAAGGAGTGAGGGAGGGAAAGAGGGAGAGAAGGAGTGATGGAGGGAAAGAGGGAGAGAAGGAGTGATGGAGGGAAAGAGGGAGAGAAGGAGTGAGGGAGGGAAAGAGGGAGAGAAGGAGTGATGGAGGGAAAGAGGGGAGAGAAGGAGTGAGGGAGGGAAAGAGGGAGAGAAGGAGTGATGGAGGGAAAGAGGGAGAGAAGGAGTGATGGAGGGAAAGAGGGAGAGAAGGAGTGATGTAGGGAAAGAGGGGGCGAAGGAGTGAGGGAGGGAAAGAGGGAGAGAAGGAGTGAGGGAGGGAAAGAGGGAGAGAAGGAGTGAGGGAGGGAAAGAGGAGGCGAAGGAGTGATGGAGGGAAAGAGGAGGCGAAGGAGTGATGGAGGGAAAGAGGGAGAGAAGGAGTGATGGAGGGAAAGAGGGAGAGAAGGAGTGATGGAGGGAAAGAGGGAGAGAAGGAGTGATGGAGGGAAAGAGGGAGAGAAGGAGTGATGGAGGGAAAGAGGGAGAGAAGGAGTGATGGAGGGAAAGAGGGAGAGAAGGAGTGAGGGAGGGAAAGAGGGGGAGAAGGAGTGAGGGAGGGAAAGAGGGGGAGAAGGAGTGATGGAGGGAAAGAGGGGGAGAAGGAGTGATGGAGGGAAAGAGGGGGAGAAGGAGTGATGGAGGGAAAGAGGAGGCGAAGGAGTGATGGAGGGAAAGAGGGAGAGAAGGAGTGATGGAGGGAAAGAGGGAGAGAAGGAGTGAGGGAGGGAAAGAGGGAGATAAGGAGTGAGGGAGGGAAAGAGGGGGAGAAGGAGTGAGGGAGGGAAAGAGGGAGAGAAGGAGTGAGGGAGGGAAAGAGGAGGCGAAGGAGTGATGGAGGGAAAGAGGGAGAGAAGGAGTGATGGAGGGAAAGAGGGAGAGAAGGAGTGAGGGAGGGAAAGAGGGGGAGAAGGAGTGATGGAGGGAGAGAGGGAGAGAAGGAGTGATGGAGGGAAAGAGGGAGAGAAGGAGTGAGGGAGGGAAAGAGGGAGAGAAGGAGTGATGGAGGGAAAGAGGGAGAGAAGGAGTGATGGAGGGAAAGAGGGAGAGAAGGAGTGAGGGAGGGAAAGAGGGAGAGAAGGAGTGATGGAGGGAAAGAGGGGGAGAAGGAGTGATGGAGGGAAAGAGGGAGAGAAGGAGTGATGGAGGGAAAGAGGGAGAGAAGGAGTGAGGGAGGGAAAGAGGGAGAGAAGGAGTGATGGAGGGAAAGAGGGGGAGAAGGAGTGATGGAGGGAAAGAGGGGGAGAAGGAGTGAGGGAGGGAAAGAGGGGGAGAAGGAGTGATGGAGGGAAAGAGGGGGAGAAGGAGTGATGGAGGGAAAGAGGGGGAGAAGGAGTGATGGAGGGAAAGAGGGAGAGAAGGAGTGATGGAGGGAAAGAGGGAGAGAAGGAGTGAGGGAGGGAAAGAGGGAGATAAGGAGTGAGGGAGAGAGTGATGGGGACTATGACTTACCAGGAGTAGTAGAGAAGATAGTAGGAGGAGACGTGGGAGAGGAGGTAGGTGACTTCATGTTGGCATCTGGCTTGATCAGATTGTCAATACTAAACGCGTTACATTTCTCAGATTGCGTCTTTGAGGGTGTCATCCGCTGCTGAAGGGATATTAGATTTTATAAAATGTTGACCAAAACCAGTGCGCAAGAATTTAGTAACAATTACAGAATGTTGCCGGATAAAGCTTGTGATAAATATTATAAGTAAAATCATGATAAGATATTAAGGACTAGAGATAACCATGTAAACCATGTTAACCATGTTAACCATGTTAACCATGTTAACCATGTTAACCATGATAACCATGTTAACCATACTGACCAGAAGACTAGAAGTCAGAGAGAAGGGGGTCGAGAGAGCAGGTATTGTCAGCATTTCACTTCTAGCAGGGGACTCCGGACAGTTAGAAAACTGAACCGGAGATCCAGACACAGATCCGGTGATCGGGGGAGTGACTTCGTGTCGGGCCTGAACGCGTCACGGATTAGAATACTTAAATTTTATGCAGTAAAAACCCGATTTACCGCAAACGCAGCTTTAGCCTATCCCCAAAGCTCAGCGGCAAATCAGGGTTTTACTTTACATTATAATAGAGTAATAGGAACGTTATGATAAAGGTATATACTTATACGTGTAAGAAAATCTTTTAATTAAGACATCAAAGTTAGAGGCAGATTTGGATGTGTCCTTTGTGAAGAACTCGTGGTCATGAATTTATATAAGTTTTGATAATGAGATATTTCCTTGTGTTTCACATAGTGAACTAAAACGTGTGTAAAAGTAACCTGAAGAGGGGATGATGCGGTGGAGGTAGTCCTCAGTTCGTTGCGAAGGTCCGGTAGTTGACCCCACTTCTCCGAGTTGATAGGAATTTGAACAACAGACATTTTAACTGGAAACATGGGTTGTTGTTAAAAGTGGGATAGAACTGAACAATGAAAATAAACACTTAACGTTATTTCAAAAAATAACATCTGCGTATCTTTCCTAACCACCCTCAGAATATCCCTTAGACACTGTAACATTCTGAATCTCAACTCTGACAAGAGAATATCTATCACCATGGTGACCTCACAATTTGACCAAAATTTAAACTAATTGCATTATCATTACCCGACCAATCTCGTGAGTAAAAGGCAGTCGGCTAACTATCGCTGCTCATGGACCGATAATTATGAAATTGGTCGAATGAAATAATAAATAATTGTAATAAACTATAATGCAAGTTCGGTAAATCTCTAACTATGGGAAAAATATCGTTTAACGATGAGTTTCTCATGTGGTGGTTGGAGACGCGCGCACGTGATCAACACCATGGTCGTCATGGGGATTGGTCGTCATGGTTGTAAAGGCAGTTGATTGGTCGACTACGGTGTGAACTTGAGCTTGAAAGCTGGTTAATACAATTAGCTAAACAAATCTACAATTCGGAATTAGTGGTTGATAACTCAGATAAGTCGGGAAAATACAGTAGCAGCTATTAACGAGCTGGTAAACGGTCGTTGATATTTTCCCAAATAATTGGGGATAAACCGTGCGAATATCATCTGCACGCTCTACAACTACTTTTAATCGCTGTACTAGTTAAACCTAAAATTGACAGATGAGAGGAAGATTTTTAGCTGCAATTTGAGTTATAATCTCGAAATTGTATCCAATTTGTGCGTGACGTGTAACGGAGAAAGATTTGGTTTGCGTAGGTTGACGAAAGTAATTTCACGGCAAATGCTTCTAAGCGATTATTAGTTACACGTACAGATGCCACTTCAAAGTGTTTTTGTTATTTATCTGAAATTGTTTATAGATTATAAAAACAATTAGATTTTACGTCGATTATATCGGCAATAGTGTAAGATCGTACTCAGCCAAGAAATCCGGTAATTTTTCAAACGGTGCTTAATTTTAAATATTTTTATTTGTACTGAAACATGAGTAATTTGATAACCGTGATAATTATGGGATCACCATTTCCAAACTTAATGTCCTGTATTATCGATGAGTCCACCGCATAATTTTGTAATCGAGCAAAACAAATTATTCTGTGTTTTGCTGTTGTAAAAGCTTAAAAGGAGTGCGGAGAACAAAAACACGATAATGGACAAAAACCTATTATGAACTTATGAAGTAGATTGAAAATATCTAAACGGCGCAACAATGTGGATTTTTCGACAGAAATTATAAAATTCAGAAAAAAACCATAGTCGATGTAAAGTTACTACATATTAGCTTTTTAGAAAATAAGTGGCAATATATTGGATTCTTATAAATAAATCTTATAAAGTTATAAGATAAGGTGGCAATATATTGAATTCTTATAAGTAAATCTTATAAAACACAATATTGAACTTTTTAAAGCAAATCTTATAATCTTAATGGAAATACTGGATTTTATTTTAAAAAACCCTTATACTCTTATAGTTATAAAACGCGCTGGCAATACTAAATCATAATAAGTAAATTTTATAAAAAAAGCTAGCAATTATAATGGATTTCAATAAATAAATTTTATAAAACGCGCTGGCAATACTGGATTTTGATAAGTAAACCTTATACAACACAGAATTTTCAATTTAAAACGTATACTGACATTACCAGCTGGTTAAGATGTGAAAGGTGGTATCCCAAAGTTTAAGGAACGTAATACTATTAAGTAATAACATTACCAATAGCAATACTATTAAATAACATTACCAATAGCAATCTATCCAAATATTATGATTGTCGGATTTCTACATTTCGTAGAATACAAAGTATCGCCCTGATTTACTTGGAAATCTATTTCAGAGATACAAGTTTCTGATTAATTGATGAGGTATGAATCATCCGGTCCGATTGCACAAATGAATTTTTGTTGATAAATACACAAGGTCGAGATTTGATAAGAACATTAAACAACGTCGTGAAATTCTGGGCAACAATTTTAACATGATTGTTATTAAATAAAGATTTTAAACAAGGGATAACATCAAAATCGAATCTTTCCCTAAAAATATAACAGGAGGTCAACAAGATTTTAACAGGAGTTCAATTTAGGGTATCCTAATGTATGGCACATAAGTATAATCGCTCACATGCATTTTACATAAGCGTAAATCTCGGTGCATCTAATTCTTGGAAACCTTGGATTTGTTGGGATATAAACTAGTCTAAACTAAGACTACTACAAGTCTAGTTGACCATGTGTCTTTTTATGGACTGACCTCCGTAGCAGACAAGTTCTGTTTGTTACCCAAATGAGCTCCTAACCAGCATGTTGCTTACACAATGTTATGTTGTCAGATATAATAATAAAGTTTTTGCAATGTTCCATGATGAAGTTCGGAGACTCGGAGAGTAAACTTAGGCCAGAAAAGGATGAAGTAAGAAAAACATCAAGGGTGATATACTTAGCCTGATAAAATACGTATATCATCAGGAGTGATAGGCTAAAATAAAATAATGTTCGACTTCAGGTAGAAATGTGTTAAATACGTCCCAATATCCCGATATCCGCTAACAATTCCGGGACTAACAACCACAACTCATACTCAGAGATCAGTCACTGCTCCCACTTACAGACCGAGACTATATAACTTGCACTCTGTGACTGCTCCGTGCAACTAACACCACTCCGTGACTAACCCCAATGATCTTACCCCAGATCCCTCTGTAACGAGGTGCTTGTGAATCTTATCCAAATAATTATCAAGTCAGCCCCTATGAATAATACATGGGGGGCACAACCTAAAGTTACAATATAGACTAATGAATTTAGCTGCCCCCCTATAATATCTCTTTATCAGCGAGATCCCTGCACAAATTGAATAGCTTGTAAACCCGTTTAAATAAGCACTAGGGATAATTAAGGGTTAAACAAATGACAGGCAGCTGACATTTGACAACAATGATATTGCTAAAGGAGCACACACACACACAATGGGGGTGGTGTACCTTAGAAACAACATCAGGGAGAATCAACCCAATCAGAACGGTGGTTTAAACCCCACGTGTTTAGTTTTGTGAATTAAACTGTGCTGATCTGCGTTGAAAGGACAGTAAAGACTGGAGAGATGCACTTCGATGTTTTTAAACTGCAGTTCACCGGTCCATGAATATTCACAAACTCGTTACTACAATGACCGCGTATTACAGCATGCCCTGCACAAATCATTGTCATTTTACATTAGGTCCAGCTCTGGAGCTAGCTTAACTGCCTCCGCTGGAACTTGTTTCAATTTCCCTGTGCTGCACCCCTGACGCCAGGGCCGACCTCTATAAAGGACCTGTATAAAGGACCCGGGTCGAGGGGGCCCCGGGTGAGGTGAGTGTGAAGGAAATTATGTCAGAAATCTGGCGACTGGAGGAGGGTAGGTTTGCTCCTTACCATATCACGTGGCCTTGTTTTTTGTTAATACTTTACCAAGGGGGATCCTTGAAGTTTTATTCAGACCCGCCAATTAACCTGCCCCACACGTGAGGCACAAAACAAATAGGAGAAAACTCATAATTGGGGTGGTGCGGATGATACAGCACAGAGCTGACTGACCTCCCTCCTCTCTTCGCTGTCGCAGTTTGTAATGCTAACTAGCCCATTGTTCCTGCAGCAGATTGTTGACACCAGAGCATGTTGCATTATTCAACCCCGGTCCTATTTTAGTGAGGTTGCAGGGGGTTGAGTGGAGCCGGGAGGAGCGCTGGAGAGACCAGCCCGCAAGTTTTATGAAATACAACTCACATCTCGCATCTCTTATTCAACAGTCAATATAAATGCAGATAAGAGATATGGCTGAGAGGTTGGGACATTCTCCCCGGTGCGGTATAAAGAAACCATAAATTAGTAGCTGTATCGTATTAGGAGGGGAGGCGGTGCATGAGCATTGTTTCCTTGATTGGTTTAAAGGATAATTAGTATTCATAGATCTCCCAGTCAGGACGACTACAAACCATATAGTGCAAATAGTGAAACACGAGCAGAGAGAGAGAGAGAGAGAGAGAGAGAAAGCAGTGATTATCAAGATTCAAGGTACTAGACTAGAGACTAGATATTACCTGTTATAGTGTTGTAGGTCAGAGAGGAAGATCACATACAGAATAACTGTGCTTTTCCTTAGTTATTTACAAACAATTGATTTATTAAATAGTTAAATGGGGTTAAAGACTTGGTCTGAGTCGGGCCAGCGCCGGTAAGTTACCCGGTTTTGTGGCATGTGGTGACGACAATTGCATTTTCCCTCCAAAACTAAAAGACTATCTACCAACTAACCAACTAACTAACTAACGAGTTACAATCAATGATTTTGTAAATTAGATCTACGGGTATTAACACAAAACAAGAGTGAACTGTAATTTGAACGGAGGACAGGGCCCAGAAGAGAGGTCAGGACAAGAGAAGGAAAGAAGTTGCAGGACTACTTACCAATCACAACGAGGAACACACAGTAAAACACACACCTCAACACCGCCCAATCACATCGCCCCATTCTCCCAACCGCCCAATCACGGACAAGCAAAGGCTTACAGGACGCCACGGCTATCTACGAGTACACGCAATAAGGTCACATAATAATCCCTTAAAATAGAATGTGCTAAATTCGGCAAGCTCGTGCTCGGGGACCAAGGTGTATTAATAGCACCATGAACACCACCTGAACTGTGTTTTAGCACCTCTGAACTTGAACTGAACTGTGTTTTAGCACCTCTGAAGTGGTGGTGAAGTTTGCCAATGTTTCTCGTTCCGGCCTAAAAGAGGAGGAGGAGGACCTGAACAAGGAGAAGGAGGAGGAGCATGCTTCTTTTTCTGTCGATAAGCCGGGTTTACAAGCAATGTCATTTAACTTGCGTGGCTCAAGTAAACTACCCCTGTCCTCCTCAAGTATTACAAATATGTTAAACGCAGATTCCTACCTGATGACTAAGAGCTCA